AGAAGGAGGCCTGAGAAGAGGCCTGGGGGATGATGGGAGCAGACGTGAGGTGTCAGCGGTGGGAGCACCTGGCCCTGGGGGGCCTGGGGGAAAGAGGCTGTACAGCAGTTCCTTGGGACCCCTACCCTCAAACTGCCTGTTCAAACGTCAACACCCCCACCCCAAGTCACGAGGACCTGCTGCCTGGGCACAGGGGGAAGGAGCTGGAAGGCGCTCAGGGACACCGCCACTGTGTGTCCATAGAACCTGCCCCAGAGATGGAGGCAGACTGTGGACAGAGTTTTCTGGAATGAAACCCACCAACGGCTCACGTTAAAGAAACAAGAGAACCGCTCATGACGGAGCGGGGACAGCTGTGAGCCCACCAGCGACCTGATGCTTATGCAGATGTGGGGATGGCAAAGAAGGGGGTGGTGGGCCCCGAGTTAGAGAAGGGGTGACATTTCCCACACGGAAGGCCGGCCGGGGTCTCTAAGAGGTGGACCTCAAATGACAGGAATAATGGAAGAGACAGAGTCCCAGAAATCTCCGGACCCCCAGGAGGCAGACGCGTTAAGAAGCATTCCTGCGGGGTGAGCACACGCACACACGACTTCGGAGAGCAGGACAGGGAGGAACTGAGGGAACCGACAGCCCAGCGCCTGCACTTCCTTCCTCGCCTTCTTTTGATCTAGAAAACACTCCGTGGGGGCTTGCTGGGCACTTTCTGCCACGGTCCTGTGAACACACAAGTTCCAAAATGGGGGAGAAAACGACCCGCCTCCACAGGAAAGGGAACCAGCCTGGGCAGGGAACTTCCGAGGAGATGCCTGCCATGACTAGGGAAATGGGTGCTGCCCAGGGACGCGCCTGCGAGCCCCCGCTGGGAGACCCGACTGCCGCCCGCACCGCAGTGCTTCCCCAAACTTTCCCTTCCTGCTGGGAAACATGGGCCAGTCATGCCGGAAGCCTGGTCCTTGGGTGGGTCTCGCCAGGCAGGGCTGGGGAGGGGAGCAGGGCATGCACACCGCGGAGATGGAAGCAGTGCTGGTCACATGCTGCTTTGACGAGACCCGGGATTCCCGTGGGAATGAGACCCTGCAGCCGCCACCCAGCTGCGGCTCGAGAATGGCCAGACGCCGCGGGTACCACGCGTTGCCTCCAGACACAGGAGGGCACGGGCGGGGCTCCCAGGCCCAGCGGCGGGCCTAGGGGTTGGTGCTTACACCTGCCTCACCTGTGCTTCTTTCCCTTTTTAATGCTTAGTGTCAAAAGCACACAATTCAGTCAGTTCATCCAAGTGACATGTGAAGGGTTTGTCTTTAAATCATGAAGTTACTTCAAATTTAGATTTCTATATCCAGTCAAATGATCATTCAAGCAACAGGGGAAAACAAAGCCTATCCTGACAAGCAGGAGCTCCGGAGGGTCACCGATCATGCAACCTCTGGAAAAGAAAGACAGAACATGCTCCCCACCCCTCAGGGAAGCCAATGGAGAGAGGCCCCCCCACAGTATGTGCAAAAGCCCACAAAAGCCCATACCACCTGTTCAATCACAACCACTGACATTGTGTCAAAACTTTAATAAAATTATTAGGCAATAGTTCTTAGAATAAAAGTAGTATAAACTAAGATTAAAAATCTCCAACAAAGATCTGGAACAAAACTTTGGATGAGTTAAGTTTGGAAAGTGGAGAGGAGAGTTAGGAACAAACACTGGTCTTGTTCTAGGAAGAGGAGCTGATTGGTTCTACGGATTGACACAAAATGTGTTTAAACATGTGTGAAAATTTAAGAGCAGCTAATAGAGGAATAAAAAGAGAAAGTGACATTTCCAAACTGGTAGGAGAGAAAAAGGAAAGAAACAGCAAACCCAGGTGGGAGGCCCCCGGGGCCGCCAGGAGCTGGCCGGCTTCTGGCCACAGCCCTGGAGGCAGAGCACAGGGCCATGCACGTCGTGAGGCCATCACAGAGACCAAGGGCCACGGATGAAGGTTTAACTTGAGAGGTGAGAAAGAAATGTTTCAAGGAAACTGAACAGTTGATCCTTTAAAATCAGAAACTGTCTTTTTTGAAAGCAACCAATGCACAGACAAATCTTTAGCTTGTTCTGGGATAAAAAGAAAGGCAAAAATCGGTAACAACAAATACTGGACAAACCATGACAAGTGGGCGAGTACTCTCGGCCCTGGGCTGGAGAGGCCGGGTCAGGCCCGTCAGGGTCAGGGAGCTGCTCCCAACGGCTCTCTAAGCAGGGAGGGCCTGGCTGAGCCACACCCGGGAGAGGTGGGAGTGTGGCCTAGGAATAGGCCCTCAAAAGGCCACTGATCAGCCACTCATCGTACCATACACGTCCACAGACACATAATTACCCTCATTAATGCTCACAGTAATTTTTCAACAATATGTAAGTACATAAACTGAAAAGTTACAGTTGCATTCTTGCAACCAAACCACACTATTTTAATAAGGTCTTCAATAAAAAGGTATACACACATATGTGTACATATATTTGTATGAGTATTTTATTTGTTGAATATGCGACAGCAGAACATATGTGGTGATATGTGAATGCACGTGTGTGTGCGTGATATACATTATAATGTCCTGGTACAGCCAATCCCCTTGTTTTTGTGGCTGTCTTGAGTGTTTCCTTTGCTAATGAACTTCAGAAGCGGCTGGTTAAATTTCACAGTAAGTGGTTAAAATCAAAACCACTGGGATTAAAGAAGAAATTCAGATGGCCAACAGGCACATGAAAAGATGCTCCACATCACTTGTCATCAGAGAAATGCAAATTAAAACCACAATGAGGTATCACCTCACACCAGTAAGGATGGCTAC